CCAACCTGCATCCGGATGGGAATCGCTTACATGGTCGCCTAGCTGTCTTTCTAGTTGCTCCTGAAATATATTATTAGCTCTGCTATCATTAGGTAGAACCCAACAGGTTTCCTTACGGTATCTTTCCTACGTCCGGTAAGCCACAAACAAATATGCGCTTACACTAGGGCATGATCTGAATCTAGACATATGCCCCAGAACGAGAGACAGTCCTCTATCCAACCCGTCCAACAGAGGCTGAAAGCGAAGTAATCTAGCTGGGCCCTTCGTTATGTCGACTTTGGGGGTCGCCAGGTCAAAAGGTGCTTTTCCTTATGCCTAAAGTTAGTATTTGCTACAAATAGGCGGTTATCATAGCACAGTTGCAACGGACGATCGCCATTGCCTGTTCTCTGAGCCGCAACACCATAACATCCACCCACGTGTCTTTCCTGCTCACTTAGTCTATCTACTTGAGCATTGAAGTCACCAGTTATTATTACTACATCAGAGCGCCTAGCTTTTTGGAGGAGGTCCGAAAGCTTTCTGTAAAACTCGTCATTCACCTCTTCTGAACTGCAGTCAGTGGGGGCATAGGCTGATATGACGAAGAGGCAACGGCGAGTGTCCATATCCTTCCGAGTCCTTACTGTCCCGTCTAGTCGGACGGCGCACAAGCGACTATCTACTGGGATCCAATATAGGAGAGATTGTTCAGCTCTACGACTCAATGCTATGCCTACACCAGCGAGACCCCTGAAAGCAGCATCAGGGCTTCCAGATACACGAATAGTAAATCGAGCTGTTTCTTTATTTTGACATGGTGAGGTCAAGTGAATGATGCTACTCGGATCTTGTATGCGCGTTTCGGAGACGCAACACACATCGATGGCACAACATTCTAAAGTCCTAGCTAATGAAGTCTGTTGCCCTATTTGACACAATGTCCGTACATTAAGTGCCCCAACATGTGGTTTAAAACGGGTTTTAGGAGACCAGGAATAAGGTTTCGGGAACTCGAATCCTTTGCAGCAGAGGTGCGGGGTGATAAAGGAATGTGAGAAGGGTTAGTCGTGAAGATAAGGCGATTGTTAGGGGGAGTAGGAAGGATTGAATTGTGACCAACTTGATCTCGTGTGCTGTTACGGATATGAGGGCGGTTGTCACTTCCCGGCTGCACACATAGTGGAAGGGTGTTTCTTGAGGGAATTGATAAGGAAGATATATTAGTGTTGGTCTCAGATACCAGGGAACGTGACCGCAGAGTCCAAGGGTCAACTGCTTGAAGCCGGTCACGCACGGCCTTCTTATAAAAGATTTGTTGAGTGTTGGCTCCGCTCTTAAAGGCCCTTAGTGGGCACCCTTACTGACGGAGACGGAAATCCGTTAGGTAGGGTGAGGTGTGACACTTTTAGGGTCGACCTTTTCTAACCCCTTCCTGGTTGTCCGAAGGAAACATCTTAATGCTGTCTCCCCCCTCTGCAGTCATCATTACGACTTCGCTCTCTGACCTGAAGTAGCTACTTTTAGTCTCATCGTTATACAATCGACCTGTCTGGCATAGTAGAACCTTCATAAACATATGTTCCAGCCAGTATATCTCGGTTGGGTCATCACGATAGGCAAGCCCAACTACCACGTCAAGGTAGCAAATGGTCGAGGTAAGCAGATAAACAGAAGAGGCAATGTCGGGTATCCCTATCTTTACGTGTTCTTGTGGTTTCGTTTAGTCAGACAGCACATATAAAGTCTGTCTCCTGGGATACAGTCTAGGAGACCTAGTTCTGCCCTAGGACTCAATGTTATACCTACAGCAGCCGGACCGCGGGAAGCAGGATCATGGCTACCAGATACACGACGAGTAAATCCAGCTGCTTCTTGATTTTGATAAGGTGAAACCAAATTAATGACTTTACTAGGATCCTGTATGCGCGTTTCCGAAACGCAGCATACGTCGACGGCGCGAGATTCTAGGGTGCTAGTTAAGGAAGTCTGTTGTCCTATTTGACACAATGTCCGTACATTAAATGCTCGAATATGTAATCTAAAACGAGGTGTCAGGAGACCAGTAATGAAATTTGGTGAACACGAACCGTTTGCAATAGAGTGACAGTAGAGTCCAAGGGACAACTGCTTGAGGCCGACCATGCACGGCCTTTTTATGAGAGGTTTTCAGAGTACTAGCTCCGCTCTTTTTTAAAAGCCCTTACCACCAGAGAGCAAAAACCGTGAGGTAAAGCGAGGTGTGAACTTTCTAGGGTCAACCTTTTCTCCTCCCGACGGTAACTGCTACCTTGACGTGGTGGTCGGGCTTGCCTATCGTGGTCACCCAACCGAGCTATATTGGCTGGAACATATGCTCCTGTAAGTTCTACCATGCCAGACAGGTCGATTGGAGAACGATGAGACTAAAAGCAGTTAATCGAGGTCGGAGGGCGAAGTCGTACTGCTGATTGCAGAGGGGTGTGACAGCAGTAAGGTGTTTCCCTCGGATAACCAGCATCTGCAGCGATGCTGCCTTTTCACAAGGAAGGAAGGGTTAGAAAAGGTCGACCCTAAAGATTCCACACCATACCTTCCTCACGGACTTCCGTCTCGGTGGTAGGGCCTTTCAAACAAGAGCGGGGTTAACACTTTGAACACTACCCATAGAAAGGCTGTGCATGACCGGCCTCAGGCAGGTTTTCCTCTGGCTCTACAGTCACGCTCCCAGGTCTCTGTGACAGACACTAAGCTAACTTGGTTTTCAGGTTCCTCAAGAAATACTTTTCACGGTGTGGGCGGCCGGGAAATGAGAACCGCCGCCATGCACGTAACAGCGCACGAAATCAAATCAGTTGCAATCAATTTCTGTCAAGACCTCCGAACATCTCTCATCTCCCCGACTAACACTTCTAACGCTCCTTTGTTACCCGGAACACAATAATGAGGGCTGTCCCGATAACCAATGCCAGCCAAAAACAGGTTTTAGTCTGCAAAGGGTTGCAGCATACGGTCATTGTTGTCTAACCTGCGACCAACGAACCCACATTAGCCAACCGAACAACCCTCATTTGTCTAAACGCCTGACCTGCTCATTCATAGTTCTGTCTAGTGCTACAATATCTGTTCAACGCAATTTCCCGAGGTCACTTAACTAGTGGTAGGACTCATCCTTAATTACATTCAGGCTGCAGTTTGTTGGGATATAGGAGGAGATAACCAAAAGGCATTGCTCCTCACACCGATTTATCCTCACCTGACGGAGCTTTCTAATCCAACAGCACATAATGGATTGTTAATAAGGAAATGACCGATTACTGCCGCCTCCGCTCTTGCCCAACAGAACCGGGCGAAGATGCTATAGGGTCGTCGGATAGACGTATGTGAATCACGCATTTCGAATAGACAGATTGAGATTAGATTTCTGGTACTTCAGTAGAGTCTTGAATAAGGGAGTCGGATAGATGAAAACATCGACGTTAAGACTTTTAATGACAGTCAACCCTATCTTGCTTAATCTGCATTAATGTGTGAACAATAGAGGACGCCAATTTGAATGACATACGAGTTTTCAGAAAGGCTGGTTTAGAATTTCTATTCGGTGGTGACATTCAACTTACAAGTTACTGACTTGAAAGCGTTTAGATAAAACAGGATTTCCATTATAGGCGAACTGCTGTATGATGCGTTGAAATATGAGGGAACGCAAAATTGGAATAAAAGGGAATAGATGTGATGGAATCAAACATAAGAACGAATGTTAACAAATAATCGCGGCAAAAATAAAAACTGAAGTGATAATAAATCTAATTGTGGTCATCATTTAGTTTGTGTGACGGCTAGGGTACTGCATGAGAGCCCAAATTGAAGTATGTAGCTTTTTAGAAGAGCAACTACCAGAGCCTTTGACAGAGATCTGATCCCCTAAGCGGTGGAACGGTAACAGGAGGAGCAGTCTTATGGTAGCCGGTGACCAACAGTAAGTTTGTAATCCATTGGTGCCCCCTGGATCTCATGTGCACCATTGGTTTGGAATTAGGGTTATCCAACTCCCCTAGGTGGATCCTCCGTACTCATAAACCCAGTTTAGGCCTCAGACATCCGTTTTTCGTCCCCTCAATTTCGCAAAAAACACTCCTTCCACATAAGGTAATCGAATAGGACTTTTCTGGTAGTGGCTGTATGAGAACATATCGAAAGGGAGAGTGGACTCTCCTCGTTCTCAGCCGAGTGAGAGAATTTGGAGAACTTACATGAATCGATACAGATCGATCGACTAGAAACGTGGGATATAGCTTTTAAAAATAAAGAGGAAGGACTATGGTTGATTACAATGTAGCAGATGAGACAATGTACAGTGAATAAATATATTAGACGAGATTTGTAGTAACTGGATACGAACGGGATACACCTTTGTTTGTGATTCTATATTTGCTCACTATGTAAAACAAGAATCAAGCATATGCATTTAGTTATTGAAAGGCTATTATTTAGCCTTCATAATCAATAATCCTCAAACCATCAGAGTGCTTAAAAGGTTGCGTAATAACATGAAATTACATAATTTTTGACATACTCTTCAAAGCATTTGAATTCATGCGTATTCGTTCAGCTTGGTAACACATCTCCATTGAACTGTATCCAAAGACTACTTAAACTTATTATACGCCAGATGCTAGGATATTCTAAAACATATAGTCTTCAATTATGAGATTAAAATAATCTTATCTATAAATGATATATTTCACGAATGTTTTAGGAGTTAGAGAAATATACGTAGAATACACTAAAACATCGTAACTATGTTGGCGTTATTTATGGGATTAAAAAGTTTGAAAACTACATTAGGTGACTACTTGTTTTATCAAATGACTAGAAAATAACCAACATAAAAGTCCAACAAAAATAGCAGGAAGGCTGCTTTTTCAACTCAATCTAAGAATAAATAAGTCTCACACGAAGGAAAAATAACAGAAAGTATATAGCATGACCAAACTAAATACAACCACTAATTACAAACAAAACAAATTTGTACTTACAAACCAAGCTATAGTTCTGTTAACAAAATCAGGATCTGATAACAAGTTGATCGTCGGCATGAGAACGGAATTAACCAGTAACTCCTACAACGTTAGATAGGTAGCTATCTTACCCGGGCTATGTATCGAATACCGGGAACAGCGTATTCCTCGGCAGGAGTAACAAAGAATAAAAACATGTCACTTAGCAAACGGAGGTGATCTATTAGAATATTAAAGATGTGATTATACTAACCTTTTTCTCGGTCTTCAGAACTACAGATTTCTTCATGACATATACTTTTTTCTGTTTCAGCTTCAATGTCGAAAAATAGTTTCGCAAAGTCTTGCTTTATTAGCTAATACAAAACACACCTTTGTCAGGATATGCTACCTTCCTCTCCAGCATATTTCGGTATACACGAACATGAGCAGCCATATAAGAGGGAAGCATTTCAGTAAGGAAAGGTACCCAATCCACATCAGATATTCTAATGAAGATGTTTAACTACGAAGAGGTACATACCTTTTTACCACATTCGCAACAATCCGCAAAAGAAGCCTATGTAGTTCCATGGGAAATGAATCGTCTGGAGTGAGGGAATTGTACCAAGGAGTTATGTAGTCCCTGATAATATAGCTTACAATCTGCGTTGTTTAGAAACACGCGTAAAACTACCTGGTTTAGCACGTAGTCTAGGTCCTGATGAGAAGATAGGCGTATATTCGGTTTTGTAACACCTTCAGCATCCATAATAGCCGTTAGCTTTGGAATTCCTTTGCAGAATATAAGATCTCTCTTTTGGAACTTCATGACCGGTTGTTCCAGCACCAAAAAGAAACTACGAAGTTATCAAAATTCATGTACAATACCCAGCAATGAAAGACAGAATCGCAACGGCGACGTAAAATAAAAACTTTAGGCCATGATGTAGCAGGAAACAGAGAACTGTTATGCCCAGAACTAAATTGAACTTCATCTTCCACCGTTGCGTTGTCAATCGAAAATCCAGGAAGTCAATTTCCAATATCCTTGAGAGTAGCTAATATCTAATATCGTTTTCACGAGCTAGTATGAACCAATCGATTTATTTGCTTTTGATTCTTGTTCTTTCGGTGCGGCTAAAGATATTTGGTACTGTCCAATGAGTGGGGTCTGGCCACTTGATTCTAGTCATTTGGCAGTTGTTGGTCAGTTTATATGTCCCGTGATTTCAATGAAAACGTTTGTTTCAGGAAATTAGGGTTTCTAGATACCACCAGCTGTCACTTTACCAAGCCGTAGATCAGTAATCTGCAATGTGGTTATTAATAAGAAGAAAATACTAATGCTAATAAGAGTAAGATTTCACAAAAACTTTGATAATTGAATAATTTAGTTTATTAATTTATAGTGGTAGTTAAACGAAATGACAGAAGCCTTGGTAAGGAAGAGGAAATATAGATAATAAGTGACATAGCTTAAGTTAGTTATTTGAGGAAATTTTTATAATCACAACTAGCATGTTTCATGACATGCAACAGTGAAATGTCAAGGAAGCAGTCTGTTCCCTCTCTGACGCGCAATTTTTCTAGGATTACCACGAGCGGCGTGGTGATGATGCTTCAGCAAGATGAAGCATCATCACCACGCCGCTCGTGGTAATCCTAGAAAAATTGCGCGTCAGAGAGGGAACAGACTGCTTCCTTGACATTTCACTGTTGCATGTCATGAAACATGCTAGTTGTGATTATAAAAATTTCCTCAAATAACTAACTTAAGCTATGTCACTTATTATCTATATTTCCTCTTCCTTACCAAGGCTTCTGTCATTTCGTTTAACTACCACTATAAATTAATAAACTAAATTATTCAATTATCAAAGTTTTTGTGAAATCTTACTCTTATTAGCATTAGTATTTTCTTCTTATTAATAACCACATTGCAGATTACTGATCTACGGCTTGGTAAAGTGACAGCTGGTGGTATCTAGAAACCCTAATTTCCTGAAACAAACGTTTTCATTGAAATCACGGGACATATAAACTGACCAACAACTGCCAAATGACTAGAATCAAGTGGCCAGACCCCACTCATTGGACAGTACCAAATATCTTTAGCCGCACCGAAAGAACAAGAATCAAAAGCAAATAAATCGATTGGTTCATACTAGCTCGTGAAAACGATATTAGATATTAGCTACTCTCAAGGATATTGGAAATTGACTTCCTGGATTTTCGATTGACAACGCAACGGTGGAAGATGAAGTTCAATTTAGTTCTGGGCATAACAGTTCTCTGTTTCCTGCTACATCATGGCCTAAAGTTTTATTTTACGTCGCCGTTGCGATTCTGTCTTTCATTGCATGGGTATTGTACATGAATTTTGATAACTTCGTAGTTTCTTTTTGGTGCTGGAACAACCGGTCATGAAGTTCCAAAAGAGAGATCTTATATTCTGCAAAGGAATTCCAAAGCTAACGGCTATTATGGATGCTGAAGGTGTTACAAAACCGAATATACGCCTATCTTCTCATCAGGACCTAGACTACGTGCTAAACCAGGTAGTTTTACGCGTGTTTCTAAACAACGCAGATTGTAAGCTATATTATCAGGGACTACATAACTCCTTGGTACAATTCCCTCACTCCAGACGATTCATTTCCCATGGAACTACATAGGCTTCTTTTGCGGATTGTTGCGAATGTGGTAAAAAGGTATGTACCTCTTCGTAGTTAAACATCTTCATTAGAATATCTGATGTGGATTGGGTACCTTTCCTTACTGAATTGCTTCCCTCTTATATGGCTGCTCATGTTCGTGTATACCGAAATATGCTGGAGAGGAAGGTAGCATATCCTGACAAAGGTGTGTTTTGTATTAGCTAATAAAGCAAGACTTTGCGAAACTATTTTTCGACATTGAAGCTGAAACAGAAAAAAGTATATGTCATGAAGAAATCTGTAGTTCTGAAGACCGAGAAAAAGGTTAGTATAATCACATCTTTAATATTCTAATAGATCACCTCCGTTTGCTAAGTGACATGTTTTTATTCTTTGTTACTCCTGCCGAGGAATACGCTGTTCCCGGTATTCGATACATAGCCCGGGTAAGATAGCTACCTATCTAACGTTGTAGGAGTTACTGGTTAATTCCGTTCTCATGCCGACGATCAACTTGTTATCAGATCCTGATTTTGTTAACAGAACTATAGCTTGGTTTGTACGTACAAATTTGTTTTGTTTGTAATTAGTGGTTGTATTTAGTTTGGTCATGCTATATACTTTTTGTTATTTTTCCTTCGTGTGAGACTTATTTATTCTTAGATTGAGTTGAAAAAGCAGCCTTCCTGCTATTTTTGTTGGACTTTTATGTTGGTTATTTTCTAGTCATTTGATAAAACAAGTAGTCACCTAATGTAGTTTTCAAACTTTTTAATCCCATAAATAACGCCAACATAGTTACGATGTTTTAGTGTATTCTACGTATATTTCTCTAACTCCTAAAACATTCGTGAAATATATCATTTATAGATAAGATTATTTTAATCTCATAATTGAAGACTATATGTTTTAGAATATCCTAGCATCTGGCGTATAATAAGTTTAAGTAGTCTTTGGATACAGTTCAATGGAGATGTGTTACCAAGCTGAACGAATACGCATGAATTCAAATGCTTTGAAGAGTATGTCAAAAATTATGTAATTTCATGTTATTACGCAACCTTTTAAGCACTCTGATGGTTTGAGGATTATTGATTATGAAGGCTAAATAATAGCCTTTCAATAACTAAATGCATATGCTTGATTCTTGTTTTACATAGTGAGCAAATATAGAATCACAAACAAAGGTGTATCCCGTTCGTATCCAGTTACTACAAATCTCGTCTAATATATTTATTCACTGTACATTGTCTCATCTGCTACATTGTAATCAACCATAGTCCTTCCTCTTTATTTTTAAAAGCTATATCCCACGTTTCTAGTCGATCGATCTGTATCGATTCATGTAAGTTCTCCAAATTCTCTCACTCGGCTGAGAACGAGGAGAGTCCACTCTCCCTTTCGATATGTTCTCATACAGCCACTACCAGAAAAGTCCTATTCGATTACCTTATGTGGAAGGAGTGTTTTTTGCGAAATTGAGGGGACGAAAAACGGATGTCTGAGGCCTAAACTGGGTTTATGAGTACGGAGGATCCACCTAGGGGAGTTGGATAACCCTAATTCCAAACCAATGGTGCACATGAGATCCAGGGGGCACCAATGGATTACAAACTTACTGTTGGTCACCGGCTACCATAAGACTGCTCCTCCTGTTACCGTTCCACCGCTTAGGGGATCAGATCTCTGTCAAAGGCTCTGGTAGTTGCTCTTCTAAAAAGCTACATACTTCAATTTGGGCTCTCATGCAGTACCCTAGCCGTCACACAAACTAAATGATGACCACAATTAGATTTATTATCACTTCAGTTTTTATTTTTGCCGCGATTATTTGTTAACATTCGTTCTTATGTTTGATTCCATCACATCTATTCCCTTTTATTCCAATTTTGCGTTCCCTCATATTTCAACGCATCATACAGCAGTTCGCCTATAATGGAAATCCTGTTTTATCTAAACGCTTTCAAGTCAGTAACTTGTAAGTTGAATGTCACCACCGAATAGAAATTCTAAACCAGCCTTTCTGAAAACTCGTATGTCATTCAAATTGGCGTCCTCTATTGTTCACACATTAATGCAGATTAAGCAAGATAGGGTTGACTGTCATTAAAAGTCTTAACGTCGATGTTTTCATCTATCCGACTCCCTTATTCAAGACTCTACTGAAGTACCAGAAATCTAATCTCAATCTGTCTATTCGAAATGCGTGATTCACATACGTCTATCCGACGACCCTATAGCATCTTCGCCCGGTTCTGTTGGGCAAGAGCGGAGGCGGCAGTAATCGGTCATTTCCTTATTAACAATCCATTATGTGCTGTTGGATTAGAAAGCTCCGTCAGGTGAGGATAAATCGGTGTGAGGAGCAATGCCTTTTGGTTATCTCCTCCTATATCCCAACAAACTGCAGCCTGAATGTAATTAAGGATGAGTCCTACCACTAGTTAAGTGACCTCGGGAAATTGCGTTGAACAGATATTGTAGCACTAGACAGAACTATGAATGAGCAGGTCAGGCGTTTAGACAAATGAGGGTTGTTCGGTTGGCTAATGTGGGTTCGTTGGTCGCAGGTTAGACAACAATGACCGTATGCTGCAACCCTTTGCAGACTAAAACCTGTTTTTGGCTGGCATTGGTTATCGGGACAGCCCTCATTATTGTGTTCCGGGTAACAAAGGAGCGTTAGAAGTGTTAGTCGGGGAGATGAGAGATGTTCGGAGGTCTTGACAGAAATTGATTGCAACTGATTTGATTTCGTGCGCTGTTACGTGCATGGCGGCGGTTCTCATTTCCCGGCCGCCCACACCGTGAAAAGTATTTCTTGAGGAACCTGAAAACCAAGTTAGCTTAGTGTCTGTCACAGAGACCTGGGAGCGTGACTGTAGAGCCAGAGGAAAACCTGCCTGAGGCCGGTCATGCACAGCCTTTCTATGGGTAGTGTTCAAAGTGTTAACCCCGCTCTTGTTTGAAAGGCCCTACCACCGAGACGGAAGTCCGTGAGGAAGGTATGGTGTGGAATCTTTAGGGTCGACCTTTTCTAACCCTTCCTTCCTTGTGAAAAGGCAGCATCGCTGCAGATGCTGGTTATCCGAGGGAAACACCTTACTGCTGTCACACCCCTCTGCAATCAGCAGTACGACTTCGCCCTCCGACCTCGATTAACTGCTTTTAGTCTCATCGTTCTCCAATCGACCTGTCTGGCATGGTAGAACTTACAGGAGCATATGTTCCAGCCAATATAGCTCGGTTGGGTGACCACGATAGGCAAGCCCGACCACCACGTCAAGGTAGCAGTTACCGTCGGGAGGAGAAAAGGTTGACCCTAGAAAGTTCACACCTCGCTTTACCTCACGGTTTTTGCTCTCTGGTGGTAAGGGCTTTTAAA